GAGAACTCGATGGAGAAAACCTTCTCATCAGCCCCTGAAGGACTTGTTCATCTTCATGGTTGTCACAAAAAAAGGTAAGAAGGCCCTATAAGTAGGACTTAATTCAAGGTCCCAGAGATGGATCACAAGCTCCTAGTGGGCCTGTAGGTTTGGAAGTAAAGTGCCCTTGTCTATGGTCATTGTCTACTGCTTCAAGAAGGGCTAGAATCTGGGGTCCAAACCATTTTAGCTACTCAGATGTACAGACTTTCTATTGGTTTAGCTGTTTTATTCCTCATGCTGTATTAACTCCACATGTGACTCTTTTTTCCTAATTCAAAAATGTTCTTCATCATCTTTTTCTATAGCTCAGTGGAGATGTTTTATGTCTTGAACAAGTGAATCTTCTTGGTCCTCCTATCTCTGTGGCTTTGCACAGGCTTTGTGTCCTGCATTTTCTTATCCGTGAACATGAATTCTTTCAATAGAAAGAAAACTTCTTGAGGACAGGATTATTCTCTTTTCACCATTGTACCCATAGTGCCTAACACTGTATCTGGGAAATAGTAGGCTGGTTTACTGATGACTCTAATGACTAGGAGATATACTTGATCCGGCCCTCCACCTCTCTAACTAGAGTTCTCATCACAGCCCAGGGGAAGGGATAATGGCCTTGGGGTCAATGGACATGACTGGAAAACCCAAGTCAGACTTTTATTACCTATTTGACTTTGGGAAATCCCTATCCTCTCCAGGCCTGTTTATTCATCTGTAGAATGCCAAAGGACAGTGCAAAGCAGGAGCAGAGTTGAATTCAAGTAAGCATTAGTCTCTATGGGAATCCCTCCCACTGTTAGTGTCTCAGCAGCTAAGTTTGTAAACATAGTTCAGGCTATTTCAGCAATCCTGTCAATTTTTTTTGTCCTAAGGTACTTGCCAAGAGATAATTTTTTTTTTAGCAATTGGGTTAAAAAACCCCTTCTATCTTATCTTGGGCTTATCCCAATGGCTATATGTGTACACATGACCCGGGAAGGTTGGCAGGCTGCCAGATGTTTAGGGCTGTTATGGAGAGCCTGCTCTTCTCCCATTATTGTGGCAGTCTGAATGCATTTGGTTGTTCTCATTTCTTTGTGGTTTAAAATAAAAATCATCACACTTTTTTTGTGGTTAAACATTTGTCTGTGTGTGTATGTGCATGTGTGTGTGTGTGTGTGTGTGTGTGTGTGTGTGTGTGTTTGTGCTGGTGGTGGTTTCTGTGTGTGGCCTCCTATTTTCTTGGCCAATTCTCTCAAATCTCTGAATTATTCCAAATGCATTCTCCAGCATAATGAATTGGGAAATGTGCTAGACCAAGGAATAAGAAGGCAGGGGTTCAAAGGTCAGCTCTGACATTTACTAGCTGAATGGCTTGGGCAATGCCCCTTCTCTCTGAGCCTCATATTTTCCATAGGAATAATTCCATCTGCTCTGCCCACTTCTAGAAAGGATTATCATAATTCTTCTCATTTGAGTAATATAATAGACTTTTTGCATTAAAAATCACAATAATAGCTAGCATTTATATGATACTTTAAGGTTTGTAAAATACTTTACACATACTTTCTCATTTGATCTCCCAACAACCCTGGGAGATTTTGTTGTTGTTTGGTCATGTCCGACTCTTAGTGATCCCATTTGGGGTTTTCTTGGCAAAAATACTGGAGTGGTTTGCCATTTCCTTCTCCAGCTCATTTTACGGATGAAGAAACTGAGAAAAACAGGGTTAAGTGACTTGCCCAGGGTTATACAGCTAGTAAGTGTCTGAGGCTCGATTTGAACTCAGAAAGATGAGGCTTCCTCACTCCAGGCCCAACCCTCTATCCACTACAGTGCCACCTAGCTGCCCTAACCCTGGGAGGCAGGTGCTTTTATTATTCCCATTTTACAGATAAGGAGACTGAAGGTAAAAGAAGCTAGCTACTTAGAAGGGAGAAATAACTCTTTATTGAGTGAGGGTTTCCAAAGTGATTCCCTCATAAGTCTGCGAGGTAATAGGATAAATATCATCCCTGTTTTAGAGATGAAGATACTGGGACTCAGAAAGGTCAAGTTACTATTCAGCAGGTCTAATGCCTCGTAAGTGGCAAAGATTCACTCTTGTCATTACAGTAAGTTGACTCTCTAGTATGAAGCTGGAGGCATAGAGCATTAGACTTGGAGTCAGAAAGACCTGAGATGAAATCTGGTCTCAGACACTTGCTTGTTAGCTGTGTGAATCTGAGCAAGTCACTTAATCTCTAACTGCCTCAGTTTCCTCAGCTGTAAAATTGGAATAATAATAGCACCTACCTCCCAGTACTATTGTGAGGATCAGATGATCTTGCAAACCTTAAAGGATTATAGAAATAATTGCTGTAGTTCAGTTGTGTTTAACTCTTTGTGACCCGGCAAACCATATTGTCCATGGGATTTTCTTATCAAAGATACTGGAGTGGTTTACCATTTCCTTCTCTCTCCAGTGGATTAAAGCAAGCATGAGTTAAGTGACTTGCCCAGGGTCACACAGCTAGTAAGTGTCTGAGGCTGGATTTGAACTCAGGTCTTCATGACTCCAGGCCTAGCAGTCTATTCACTGGGCCACCTAGCTGCCTTTTAGAGATAGTAGCTATTAGCTATTCTTCAATTCACCATAAACTTTCTCAAGCCTCCTTTTAAATTAGATACAAAATCAATATTAAGGCCCACACAACTTCAGAGAAGATAGCATGACCTTGCTCAGCCAGCTATGGAAACATAAAATTTTCTACAGAGATCAAAGGTAAAATGATCAGGTGAAAATCCTATCCAAGCCTAGAATCTAGCCACTAGGTAATTCCCAAATACTTCTCTCTGCTATTTGTGGTACTGAAGGCCAAAAATGGCATGGGGGGCTTGTTTCCTTTGTGGGGTAATAAAGCACATTCTTTACCTCACAAGGCTGCTGCCAATCTTAATGTACTGTAGATTTGTTGATGGTTATATCCATATATCTAAATATTTATGACATGTATCTATGTACATAAACATAACACACACATGTTCTGCACAAACGTGTGCATATATCCACATATAGACATTTACAGATACATGTGCACATGGATGTACATATAACATTCATGTGTGTGCACACATGCACACATAGACATATAATGCCCATATTCTTCTAACTTCTAAAACACATGTGCGCATATGTATACATGTACATGTACCAGCATCATGGGGGAGACATAGAGTAGCATGTGCCAGGTGAGTCAAATTACTGATATCACCTCATCTACTGGCTTCCCTCAGATGCAGGTGGAGACAGCCTTGCTCCCAAGATCCCCCAGGAAAAATTTGGCAACAGTAAAAGGTTTCTGAACACACACCAACCAAAAATTAATTAAAAAGCAAATGTGTAATGAATCCGAGGTGTTTGTGGCAGCACTTGGTGTTGCACTGCAAAGCTTCACTGCAGCCTTCATTCTAAACACAAAGCATGCACACTTTGCCTCAGGCCACACAACACAGACCACCAGAACTTTCTTTGATTTCTTGAAACCTCCTTTTTGTATTGTGTCCCATATTAAAATGTGAGCTCCTTGAGAGCAGGGACTGTGAGGCTTGTCTATTTGTATCCTTACTGCTTGGTGCAGTGCTTTACACACAGTAAATGTTTAAAAAAGTGTTTTTCATCCATCCATCCATCCATCCATCCATCCACCCCTCCATTCATCCATTCATATGTTGCTGCTGATATTTTAAATCTGCAGGTAATCTTCACCGTTTTAGCTATAGTGCATGGCAGAGTCGATCGGGCCCTGGCCTCAGTGTCAGAGGCCCACCTTGGTTTCCACCACTTATCCTAGGACTGTGTGACCTTCAGCAAGTCACATTTCCACAAGGCTCATCTATAGAGTGGGGAATCATAATGTTTGCATTCCTTGGGGCTGTTGTGAAGAAATGCTTTTGCAAATCTGAAAACACATTAGTGACATCAGTAGTTATTAATACGGAAATATGAGCTGATGTTTTCTGTAAGATAAAAACAACATTCCCACTCTACCTACTTCACAGGACTGTTAGAAGGACCAAGTGCAAGAAGGGCTGTGCTTTGAAAATCAAAACCTTGCAAGAGGCTGTCATCCTTTTCAGTCTTCTCTGCCACCAAGTCTACCAGAACTGCTGAAGGGACAGGGAGTAAAACGAATGGTTGCTCTCTGGTCATAACGATCCCCTAAGCAGCAGCACTAGAGATAGGAAGAAAGCAGCCCCGAGCCACATGCTCAATGGCATTCCTGTTGGGTTCACACTTGGAGAGATGGTCCTCAGTCATATATGTCCCTGTGGCTGCCAGAGGGAAGTATAGAGGTCTCTTCCCTTTCTGAGCCTCAGTTTCCCCTCCTGTAAGATGAGAGGCTTGAACTAGATGGTCTCGAGACCTTCCAGCTCTTCATCTGCATTGAGGGGGGGTTAGACTTGAAACCTAAGATACTGCCATATTTATCTATGCACAGTGGTTAGCTTTTGCCTTTTTTCTTCTTTTTTCAATATACAATTTAAGCTGCTCATCTTTAGTATCTCATCTGTTTAAAATTTTACAGATGTAGAAAGTAAGGCTGAAAAAAGTTGATGTGACTTAGTCATGCAGCCAGGAAGTGGCAAAGCTGGAAGCCAATCCTTTGCTTCCTATCTCACTGTCAGAATGTCCATTGGAATTTAAATGCAACACAGTAGTTTAACACATCCAGCTACCACCACTATTTCCTTAACACTTGACTTTAGTAACATATCAACAAATGAAGAAATTAAAAACTGGGTTCAGAGCAGAGGAAAGTGCCTGACTTGCCAGGCTAGGACTAGAACAGTAATTCCTTCATCTTTTCATTGGCTTCCCTTCTCTTCTGTTCTCCTGGTGACCTTTGTTTTGTTGTCATGGGTGACCAGAGAGCAGAAGAGGTTCTTGTGAGGTTTCAGGCAGGCTGAGCCAATACAGCCTGTGACTTAGAAGAGTAGAATACTAGAGCTATAATTTAAACTCTAGAAGTCATCTACCATGGACAGGTGTGAGGAGAAGGCTCAGAACATGAAGTTGTCCCATCTGACTCTTCGTGTGTGCCCCTGTAGACCATACTGTCCATGGGGTTTTCTTGGCGAAGATTACTGGAGTGATTTGCCATTTCCTTCTCCAGTGGATTAAGGTAAACAGATTAAGTGACTTGCCCAGGGTCACCCAGCTAGTAAGTATCTGAGGCTGGATTTGAACACAGATCTTCCTGATTCCAGGTCCAGTGCTGTCGGTTGAGCCATTTAGTTGCCTCTCCAGGGCATGGAGGGCCATTCCACATCTCTGCCGGGTCCTTCAGTGGCTCCTGGACCCATTGGTGGGCAAAAACTTGACAACTTCCAGTTCTCTTCATTTCTCTGTCACTCAGATTACGAGAGTTGAATGGGACCCAATCATTTCCTCTCTGAGCCGAAAACACATTCTGGGCTGGGATCGGCTGTCCCTTAGGAGGGAGGGAGGAAGTCAGGGGGCTTCGAAGGTAGATGTTTTCCCTGTGACCAAACATCTAGGTGGGATAGTGGGGCCCCTTGGTGGACATGATCTTTCCCTTCCTCGGGGTGTATGGGCAGCGGGATGAAGGCTTTTAGCTGTGCCTGTAATAGTTATCCAGCTTCCGATAAAACTGACCAGGGCTGTGCCCCCTACTTCTGCTTCTCCAGAAGATTTGGAGAGTCGAGGAAGGGGTTAGACTTGGGGGGGGGGATGGGGATGGGGAGAGGAGCGGCCAACTGTCCCAGGCGAATTATCTTTGAAGTTAGGAAGGAACCTGATCAGATCCGGCACGGGGGATACCGACCCCAAGCTGCGCTTCTCTCTTGGGCTCCAGAGTTGATTGAATTTTATTGGATGCACAGAGGGATGGACGGGGTTGGGGGAGGCGGGGGCGTCGGGCACCTGTCACGATCCCAGTCCTCCTCCCTCCCTAAATGTCCCTCTCCGGGAATCGCAGGCGTGAGATAAGCCAGCCGGCGGCCATGGCACGGGGGAGGAGGAGGGAGAGGGCGAGGGGGCAGCTATAATTAGCTCCGGAGGGCTCGTGGGGGAGGGGAGGGGCACGGAAGCCGACCGGCGGCCCAATGGTGAGTGGGGCGTCAGAGCCCCGGCTCGGGTAGTGGGGGAGGGCGGGTGAGGGGCTCCTGCCTCACAAAGGTGGGCGCCGACGTCACTGTCCGTCCGGTCCCACAGTGGTCTCGGCCTTGCCCCAACTCGGCTGTCCTCGGCTTACGGCTCCGTGAGTACCCCTGGGACTGGGGAGAGACACTTGGGGAGGGGGTGGGGCCGGGTTATCAGCCTGACGTTTACCCCAGGCCCTGGCAGCAGGGATCGCTAGAAGCCCCCCGACGCCCGCCACGAGGGCCCCAGACCCGCGCCGACGATTGGGAAACGGTCCCTACAAGACCCCACGGGACCTTCGCCTTCCAGCTCCGAGGACGGGACGGGGTGGGAGCAGGGTACCTCAGGCTCGGGGGACTGACCCAAGGGGTTTAATTCCGGACTTTAGGGTTGAAGCACCAGCAGAACTTCCTTTGGTGGGAATTCCCGAAGGGAAAGCATTAGGATGGTTTTTCCATCGGGACGTCGGGGTCTGGAAGGGTGGTGCGAATGGATTTGTAGGCTCTTACAGGATGGAGGGCTGGAAGAGACTTTAGAGGTCATTGGCTCCAACTCCCTCATCTTACAGAAAGGGAAACTGAGGCCCAGAGGAGAAGAGAGACTTGGGCAAGGCCACACAGCTGGCAAATGGCAGAGCTGAGACTTGAGCCTGAGTCTCTCTTACCTGCCAGGCTAAGTATTGTCTCCACACTACCTCCTGAGCCATGACAACACTGAGAGATTTGTGACCTAGCTAGCTCCTACTTTTCGCCTTATCCTGTGACCTCAGGCGGAGCCAGTGAAAGCTCATTTACATCAGCCTCTCTCTCCTCTGCCAGCCAACGTTCATGTGCTGAAGATCCCTCTGAAGTTACTTCATTTTAATTTGGGCAGGTTACTAGGGCCTGGGGAGGGCAGGGTTACAATGATGACCATGGGCCAGCCTGAGATGCACACTTACCAGAGTGAGCCTGAGCAAATCTCATGCTCTTCTTGAATGGGTTTCTTCTTTTTGCAAAATAAGGGGAGGCAGGTGACCCCCACCTACTCGAGTCATAACCCTATTTGAATACTTTCCTGGGACTTGGAGATGAAAGCCTAGGAAGGTTCCTGTTTCCTCTGGAAGTTCACAGTCTAAAGGGGGACAACAAACAGCCTCTTACATGGTGAATGTGGCTGGCATTTGTGGCAGCAAAGAGCTGGGCACAAGAGAGAGGCCTTTGTGACAAGAGGATCGGGAGAGGCTTGGTGGAAGGGGGCAACATTGGAGTTGGGTTTTCAAGGATGGGAAAGAAGGTAGAAATTATCAATAGATCAGAGATGGGAATTTGGAGGCAGAACAGAGGGCCCAACCTGGGGTTCAGAATGGAGCCCTAATAACCCCATGCACCGTTTCCTCTCCTACCTTGGGCAGGTCTGGTGTGTCCTGCTACCCAGGATGAGAGGGATTCTTTTTCGGCCTGCAGAGATGAGCCTCATGGACATCAGTAAGATATTCTCCTTGCTGCAGCAGCCCAATGAGGAAGACGATGCTAGTGAGAAACAGGAGCTGAATCAAATTGTCTGTAACAATGATGCCAAGACCCTAGACCAGCTCCTTCACCAGGAACGCTATAAGCGCTTTATCAACAGCCGCAGTGGCTGGGGCATACCAGGTACCCCACTACGCCTAGCTGCCTCTCATGGCCACCTTAGCTGCCTGGAAGTTCTCCTAGCTCATGGGGCAGAAGTGGACAGCCTGGATGTTAAGGCCCAGACACCCCTGTTCACTGCGGTTAGTCATGGGCACTTGGACTGTGTTCGGGTCCTGCTGAAGGCTGGTGCCAGCCCTGGGGGCAGCATCTATAACAACAGCTCCCCAGTTCTCACAGCTGCTAGAGATGGTGCCAGTGGAATTCTGAGGGAGCTCCTGGGTCATGGAGCTGAGGCCAATGTCAAAGCTAAGTTACCAGAGTGGGCTTCCAACATGGCCTCCTGCTCCGGGCCTCTCTACCTGTCAGCTGTCTATGGCCATTTTGAATGCTTCCGCCTCCTCCTGTTGTATGGAGCTGACCCAGACTACAACTGTACAGATAGACAGCTGCTTTCACGTGTACCCAAGCTACGCACACTGCTAGAATTCTGCCTGCAGCACAGTTGCTCCCTCGAGTACATCCAACTGCTTGTGGACTTTGGGGCCAATGTCTATCTCCCACCTCTCCCACTGGAGAAGACAGACCCGGATGGGGAAGGTGTGGCCCTACTGCTAAGGGAAAGAAGTGAGTGAGAAGGGGAAGGGAGGGAGTTCTTGGGGCTAGTCCCAGGCATAGCTGGAATCAGAGACCACCTTCCTCCAGTGACGGCTCCTGGGACATGTCCCCAAGCCAAGACCCCTGTTACTTGCCAGAGCTACGCTAGGAACCACAATAGCCGGGGATCCATTCCAAGAGAACACATGCTAATTTTTTATCCCCCTTTTTCCTAAGTGGTTGAATCCTGAATCTACCACTTACTACTTTTGTGATCTTGGGCAAATCATTTGGAAATTTTTCTAGGCCTACATTTTCCTCAACTGTAAAATGAGGAGGTTAGATGCGATGGTTTCTAAGGTCCCTTCAAGCTCTAAGACTTCTTCTGTGGATTCTTCTATGGAATCTTCTATCAGTTAGAAGATTTAGAACTGGAAGAGACCATAGTCACAATCTGGTTCCCAACTTCCTTATCATATGAGGAAAGAGGTCAAGTGACTTGCCTATTGTCATTAGCTAGATAATCTCAAAGTCACTGGACTTTTGACATCAAAGTCCACAGCTTTCTTTTTTGGCAGATTGGGATTGGGACAGGTGGAAGACTGAGGAAGGAGGGAGTAGAAGAGTGTAATAAGAGTGTGGGAAAACTGCCTTTCTTCAACTCTGTCATCTCTCCCTCCAGCTCATCCCAAATCCCTGATGTCGCAGGCTCGTCTGGCAGTCCGAAAAGCTCTCCAGTGCTCTTACCTGGCCAACTTCATCGATCAACTAGATATTCCACCTGTGTTGATTAATTACCTCAAGTACCAGTCTTAAGGCAAATGGGCTGTGGCTGAAAACAAGAGCCCCGAACACACATACCCACAGCCTATCCACCCAGAAAAGAAACTCCTGTCATCTCCCTAGAGCTGATCTTTACTTTTCCTGTTCCAATAAAGGTTCTGAAAGATGGACTAGAGTTTACTTATGCCCTCCTCACCCCTTCCCCTGCCACCCCACTACCAATCAAAAATCCTGCCACTATTTAGTTGGGAGCAAGAACTCCAAAATTCCTGTTAGCATAAGTGCACTGACCATACCCCTTTTCAAGCTATCTCAACTCCATTTTGATAAAGCACCTCCTCGCCCCTCCCCCTGCCAAAATTAAGTGCACTATTGGTCTATACTACATTGTACATATTGATTTTGCTCAGAGGTCAGAGACTCTCAAACCTATCATCCACTGGCTTTGTCTCTCAGCATCAAGGGGGAGTCCACCCCTTTGAAAATAATAGCTTTTATTATTATAGCTCTTTCCTTATTATGAGTGTGACGGGAAGTAGACAATGGTAGTCCCCTCTCCCTCCTCATCCCCCTTCACAGATGAAAAAACTCACTCCTAGAAAGTTGAAGTGATTTGCCCAAGCTTGTGATGTCTATAGATGGGTTCTGGATTCTCCTTTAGAACCCTTGCATTAGAATCCCTGCCTGGCCACTTCTCACCTTTGGAACATTGAGCAAGTCTTCCCCGTTTCTTGCTTCAATTTCTTCTGCTGTAAAATGAGGGGACTGGACTAGAATCGGGGGTGGGAAATCTTCAGCCTCAAGGCCACATGTGGCTCTCTAGGTCCTCAGGTGGGGCCTTTAGGCTGAGTTCAAGTTTTACGGAACAAATCCTTTTATTGAGAGGATTTGTTCTGTGAAGTTTGAATTTAGTCAAAGGGCTGCACTTGAGGACCTAGAGGCCTCGAGGCTGCAGATTACCCATCCCTGGATTAGATAGTCTCTAAGTGATGGATCAAATCCCAAGTGTCACAACCAAGACTTGAGTCCATGTCTGCTGACCATCCCCCTACCCATCCAATATAGGGTATCATGCCATCTCAAACCTTAGTAGAGTCCAAAACTATCAACTCCTTCCTCTCTAGGCATCCCCCTCAAGCTGCTAGACTCCTGTAGCCAGATATATGAGCATCCCAGTTGAAGTTCCCCTCCACAGCCTCACAAGTAGAGGTGAAGTTTGCCAGAAGGTGGTCTGAGAGGGTCACCAAAGATCCTGGATAGTCCATACCCTGCCTCAAAGCACTATGGGAGCTATTTTTATTATTTATAATTACTGTTGGCAACAGTAGCGTCTGGACTAGTACCCAGGCCTGATTTCCAGCTCTTGTCTCATTCAAATAGATCATGAAGCCACTCTGCCTGGCCTGGTACCCCCTTCCAACCTGGCAAAAGAACTTCATAACCCAATAAAGAAACCCAAAGCAGCAGGGCCTTGACAATGTAGGATGAGTGGTATTGGGGTTTAAGACCTCAGAGTTTTGAAGAAGTGTTTGAGTATGGCCACATGGAGTCACCCTCATCCCAAATAGGCCTGTCTCATGCCTTAGGTCTTGCACCAAGATAGGTCCAGTACTTCCTGCTCCAAGCTTCCAGGGATGAACGCCTAGGATTTCAGCGTAACCCTGGCTTCCCCTCCTTGGCCTTGCACCTGGGCAAATCTTTTGCTTTGTTCTGCATCATTTGCAAAAATGATTTTTTTTTCTTTCCTCTACAACCTGTACTTCTTCCCTGGCCCTGTTTGTCCCCACTGATCAGTTCTGAGCCCCATTTCTCTGCTGCCCCCAATCAATGGCCCATCTTGAGCTGCCTTTGGAAAAATATGAAGCTGGGGGCGGCTAGGCGGCATAGTGGATAGAGTGTCGGCCCTGAAGTCAGGAGAACCTGAGTTCAAATCCAACCTCAGACCAAACACTAGCTGTGTGACCTTGGGCAAGTCACTTAACCCTAATTGCCTACAAAAGAAAAGGAAAAAAAGAAAAATATGAAGCTGGCTGGGCTTACCAAGACAGAAAGACTGGATACCAACCCTCTCCACCTGACCTACAGTTGTGCCTTCCATGCATCAGCTTAATCCAGGGGTGGGGAACCTGAGGCCTTGAGGTCACATGTCACCCTCTAGATCCTCAAGTGCAGCCAGTTTGGATTCAGTCAAAGGGCCGAACTTGAAGACCTAGAGGGCCACATGTGGCCTTGGGGCCGCAGGTTCCCCACCTCTGGCTTAGCCACATTCCAGGAGACAGCACCGATACTGGCCACCAGGGGGCAGAGTTGGGATTTTGTTTATTTGTTATTGTTGTTGTTCTCCAGTAACAGGATTAAGGAAGGCATGAAGAGGCTGTGATCTTTCTCAGAAGAGAGGAGCATGGCCAGCAGTAAACTCATGATTCTGAATTCTTGAAACCCTAGAGTCTGGCCTTAAGCTCAGAAAGGACTTGCTTGCAGTGGGTGCAGACTTGAGTACTAGAATTGACTTCAAAGGACCTTTATTCAAATTTCAGTGATCTTTTGCTCCTAGGTAACCTTGGCAGGTCACAACCTCCTTGGGCCTGTTTCCTCAACTACAAGATGAGAGAAATAGCCCAAATTATTTCTAAGACCCTTTTCTAGTTCTTAATCATTACTGTAGCTTGATGGGTTTATTAAAATAGGTGTTCCCAAAGATAATTGAGGAGCATAGGGAGAGTGGAGTGACGTGGGGCTTTGAAAGACTTATTCTACCTTGTCCCAAAGGGCAGAAGTGGCAGTGAAGAGAGGGGAGTTTAAGGACAGATGTCAGCTCAGTTTAAAGCAAAGTTGTCTCATTTAGAATTGTCCAAAGTGGATTGGGTTGCCTTGGTATATATATACAGTGAACTCCCTGTCACTAAAAGTCTTCAAAGCTGGATAATTGTTCCTTGGGGATGTTGCAGATATGATTGCCACCTAGATATGGATTTATTTTCAATAAGAATTTATTTAGCAGCCATTGTACACAAGGTACTATACTTGACACTGGGGATACAAAAATATAAGAAAAGAGTTCCTGTCCTCATGGAGCTTGATTCTGCTTGATTAATAATAGCTAGCATTTATATAGCTCCTATGTGCTGGACACTTTATAAATATCTCATTTGATCCTCACAAGAACCATGGGGGTTAGATGCTATTTTTTCTTCTATTTTACAGATGTAGAAACTGAGGCAAAGGTTAAAAGACTTGCCTAGGGTCATTCAGCAAGGGTCTGTGGCTGGGTTTGAACTCAAAGTGTGCCACCTAGCTGCCTGGTAGATGTCATATGTATTCAGATAGGTGTAGCATGTATGACGTTGCCAAAGGAGAGAGAGCCAAACACACGGTTTAGGCAAATTTGAAGAGAGTAAGGCCACTTTCATGGGTCCCACTTCCCAAAGAATGCTGGGAAGGGACAAGAATGAGGGAGACAAAGCCAATTTACAAACCGAGGTTCAGCAAAGGAAGCTTTGGGCCCACTGGACTGGTCTTCCTGGCCTAGGTATGAACCAATGAGTCATGATGACTGTGCCCTTCCTGCTTTCACTGACAATTCAGAATATCTAGCCCAGTAGCAGAGTTGGGGAGCTAGATGGTACACTAGCTAGGTGGGGCAGTTAGGTGGTGCTGCAGTGGATAGAGCACCTGACCTGGAGTCAGAAAGTCTCATCTTTCTGAGCTTAAATCTGGCCTCAAACACTGACTAGCTGTGTGACCCTGGGGAAGTCACTTCACCCTGTTTGCCTCAGTTTCCTCATCTGTAAAATGAGCTGGAGAAAGAAATGGCAAACCACTCTAGTATCTCTGCCAAGAAAACCCCAAATGGGGTCATGAAGAGTCAGATACGACTGAAAGCAACAAAGCAGAGTTTCCTCCAATAGAGTAGTAAGTAGCCCTGGAAGATCATTCAATCCAACCGTCTCATTTTACAAAGGAGAAAACTGAGGCCCAGACAGAGGTGAAGGTGCTTGGCGCCTTCTTGCCACTCATCCAAGCCCCTATCCTGATTCAGAGTTTGTACGCAGGAGATGCTCAACGCTTATTGGATTGAATGGCCCCTGAGGTCTCTTCCCACCCAGGACTTCCTAAACCACTGGCTTAAGGTCACGGGGCTGGGGGGGGGGCGCGTCAAGATGGAGCCCCAGGTGTCCTGAGCACCGGGTGCGGTCCAAGAGAGGACGCTGAAGCAAATCCAGAAGAGGAGGGCGAACATAGGCCAAGCTAGCCTTTGGATGGAAGGGTTGGGGGGCTCAGGGTCCGACTCGGGGAGGGGGTACCCCGGGAGCACACTCCCATCTCCACGTAGTTTAAATAGAGGTCCTGAGAGGCAACCCAGCCGGGGTTGGGATTGGGGCGGTGTGGGGACCTGGGCCCGAGGAGCGGGGAGCTGGGTGCGAGACGCGGGGAGAGAGCAGAGGCCAAGGCGGGCGCCGGCCCAAAAGAACTGCGGGCGCCGGCCCAAAAGAACTGCCGGCGCCCGGCACACAGCACTCGGCCGAACGATCGAGCGGGAGGCGCGGGGGTAACCCGGGCCCAAATGCCGGCCGGGGACCGGGAAATGAGCTGGGGCAAAACGAAAGACCGAGGGGCGCGCATGTCCAGCAGTTTGCTGGGCCAGTCAGGATAGGGGTATCGGGGCCTGGAAGGCGGCGGGGTCGAGGTGAGGGTGGCTAGCCAGCTTTGGTCTCCCCCCCCCAGGCTGATTTGCATTTAAAGAGACACACACAGAGGCTGACCGAGGACGGGCGGGGTTCGCCTCCCGGCTGAGCCGATTGGTCCCGGCGCCTGCCGGTCGGAAGGAGGGGAGGGGAGAGGAGGGGAAGGGAGGAGAGGCGAGGGAAGGGGAGAGGAAGGGAGAGGAGGGGAGAGGAGAGGAGGAGGGGAGAGGAGGGGAAGGGAGGAGAGGCGAGGGAAGGGGAGAGGAAGGGAGAGGAGGGGAGAGGAGAGGAGGGGAGGGGTCCTACCCAGCGATTGTGGCGCGGGCCGCCAAGGGGAGCGAAGAGCTCTGGGAGCGGGGGGCGGGGAAGCTGGCTCGAGCCGCGGGGGAAGGGGAGGGGAGGGGAGGGGAGAGGAGGGGCGGGGCGGGGCGGGGGCCAGGGCCGGAGGTGACGGGAGCCGCGGCGGCGGCGCGGGAGACAATGCC